ATTGAGAAGCCTTCTTTTGGGACGTAACATATCACGAGAATGCTTCCCTGTTAAGCTGCTGGGAGTGCCCCTCCCCACCTCAGTGCTGTAGACAAGCTTGACTGTCGAGTAAGCACGTGCAGCACATTCGCAATGTGCCAAATAGTCAGTGTGCAGTTGTTATAAGTGCCTGCGAACTCTTAGGGGGTGGGCTGCTGTGTTTGTAATCTCAGTGTGTCGCTGTGTTCCTCGGTGGTGACAGGCTTCTGTCAAAGTGACTTTTGGCTCTTGATGGTGGGTGTGAACCTACAGTCTGCAGAATTCTACTTCTGGTGTGAGTAAGTGATAGTCTGCTTCGATCTCTGCTGCACATATGGATTGCCCTGCCAGTGCTGCCCAGCTGCTTGGCACCATGTGCAGTTGTCTTGCATTGCCTTGCTTCCCTGCTGCTTGGCTTGGCTGCTGTCCTGCCCACTGGCCTCCCTTCCTCTTCTTCCCCCCCCCCCCCCTTTTATTTCTTTGAATGTTCAGGTTGTTGTAGAGGTTGGAGTGGAAGACCCCCTGCACTCAGTCATTTGGAGTTCCGATGGCCCACTTAGCTTCCTGGACCACCTATACAGAGTACCTTTTTAGGCTATCCTAAGTCCTATCACAAGTCACGTCCCTCCAACACCCACCAGTTATGAGCAGGGACTGAAGCCAGTCCCAACCGATTCCAGTCCCCTAACTGGGCGCTATTATCGGCCCACTCTAGGTAGTTCTGGCCCCCAAACCGACTTAGTAGAACACTAGCCGATTCCCCATCGAATGGGTGTGAATGAGCAGCCACCCTCCTAGTAATATACACTACACCCCCAAGCTATCCCACCCTCTAGACACGAAACTGGACCTCTCCCCAGTCGAACCATACATTTTCGGCATCCCCTTCAACTAGTCCGTACCAACCCTATAGCAATCTCATAGGGCCCCCAACCGGTCCCCCTTCTGCTTTCTACAGAATGCTACTCTCCACCGGTGTCCCTGGTATTATGAGGATCATCTATGTCTGCACACTGCCTAGAGACGACCAGCCAGCTAGGTGTTCCTGCCAATACCAGGGGCACTGGTAATGCTACTCTCTACAGGTGTACGTGGAGAAAGTAACGCCCGTTCGGACCAGCCAGCTAGGTGTTCCAGGTCCGAACAGGCGTTACTTTCTACACGCCCGTTTGGACCAGGAACACCTAGCTGGCTGGTCCGAACGGGCGTTACTTTCTACATGTACACCTGCTGGTCACAGGGCAGACGCAATTTCTACCTTCGATGCAATACTGACCCTCCCTTACGGTATCCTAAGGTAGACCTAGAGCCCATGGGCTTAGTGGACCAACTACTCTCCCCAAGTGATGAGCAACTCCATGAGCCATCCCTTGAAGCACAGTCCTTGGGACCCGTACGATATGATCGTGAACCCATCACTTGGGAATCGTAAGTGCCTTCCGTCTTTCCTTCTACAAGGTCCCTGTACCCCTCCCATACACCACACGCACCCCTGTAGGCCGCAGCCTACTCAAATTAGGAGTAGCAGGCCTAGACCTGTCGAGCCTATACCCCACACATAGTATGGACACCCGTAGCTGTACCCTTAATAGCGGGAAACTCCGTATAGTACCCAGACCCTACCAAAAGCACCCTTCCTAGAGTAGTCCATACGTGAGGGGATACCTCCTAGCAGCTCTAGACCTTTAGACGGGGGGTTCAGTTCAGTCCGGTTATTTGCACTTGTTCAACTACCTTCTTCCCCCGTATACAACGTACGGTAATTATAGCTGTATTTGGGGTATCTTTCAGTCTAAATACAGTTATGATGACCGTACGTTGTTTTCAGGGAAAGGTAGTATCCAAATGGTACGAATCATACTCGTAAGTTCATATACCTTTGGATAGAGCCTATAGACCGCTTTGCAGATGATTTTCTAGTCGCAATCTCTGGTCCATCTTTCAGTCTAAATACAGTTATGATGACCGTACGTTGTTTTCAGGGAAAGAAGGTAGTATCCAAATGGTACGAATCATACTCGTAAGTTCATATACCTTTGGATAGAGCCTATAGACCGCTTCGCAGATGATTTTCTAGTCGCAATCTCTGGTCCACGATCAGAAGCAGTCAAACTGAGATCTGAACTGGAATCGTTCCTTAGAGACAAACTCCAATTAACACTACCGTTTAATTGGTTTTTCATGTGGAACTATCGAAGGTATACAGTCTTTACCAATAGGTGTTTTGAACTGTTGTCATTTGTGTAATAATGACCATCAGTGTATTTGGAATAGTTTGAGCAGATCCTGCAATTACTATCAAAGTGATTGGACATCAATAGTATTGGACTTGTGAGTATTCAGATTATAATACTTCTGATAGTTATATGATTCCAGAGGTGTTTTGATACAAACAAAAAGAAAATGGCTATGCTAGAAGGTGCAAAATTAATTGGAGCGGGCTGTGCAACGATTGCAGCATTAGCTCTGGAGTATCTTCAGACAGACCCAATGGTTTCAAATACTCTGCAATCAACTCAATCGGTACCTATCTGTGCACCTCCCCCAACATACAACCACCATGGACGAGGACCCCTTTGGTAGAAATAGGCAGTGTCTGTAGTCCTTACCGTACTTCAGACCGAAGATGTGTGTGTGTGTGTGAATGGCCGTGCGTCGGTTAACACCTGCCGGTGGCAGCGCAGCGTATCCCCGAAAGTGCAGGTTCCAAGATTTGCGCATTTCCAACCGGTGCTCTACCCACTGAGCTATCGGCCATTCACTTGCCTCCCTTCCACTGCTGTGCATTTGCTAACTTGCTTGCTTGCTTGTGAATGCTTTCTTCTTAGTTGCCTTGTTGCCTGCCTCGCTGCCCGCCTGCCTGCTTGCTGGATGGTGTGTAGATTGGAGAGATGGAGTGCTTCTACATCCCATAGACAATGCACTCTCCTGAACCAGTCTTGTCTTGTCCAGTATGTGAGCGTCGCTATTCACCATAGACAATAATATAGGCAATATAGACAATATAGACAGTGTACTGTGTCTTCATCCATTTTTTTCTGTGCAACTTGACACATCGGTGATCACTGCACTTTTTTTATGCCAGCACGGCCCAGCAGTGCACATTTTTATGCCAGTTGGTTGTCCTGGTGAGTACTGAGGAGGAACAAATGAGTCTGATGAGTCTGATCTTTTGTTTTGAGGAATGTACTCTAATAATTTGATCCTCCGTCTTCTGTCCGTCCTTCTCTTCGGTCCCCCTTCTCTTTCTTTTCCTTATTTTGCTCACCTTCCCTCCTCCCTTTCCCCCTTGTGAAGAACTGCTAAATGCAAGCGACAGATGAGCATCACTAAGAGAACACACAAAGTGGAGTATGCCGCTGTGCCATGAGGCAGATGGGCCTGTAGGCACCGTCTGCCTCATGGCACAGCTTTGCACCATTCAAAATTTGGCCACAGTATAAAGTGGCCAGCTTTGCACCATTCAAAATTTGAACCGAGCAAATGCCTTCAGCTTGTATTTTGTCTGTTGTCTTAGTGGAAAAAGGGGTTGTTGTGGTGACAGTCTACAACAGACAGACACATACACACACACACACACACACTTGCTGATCAACCACACAAACATGGGCAACCTTGCATCTTCTAATATATTTTGCCTATCTATACCTTTTTTGTTTTATGGATGGTTTGTGATGATGATTCGTGGTTGGAGAGAGAGAGAGAGAGAGAGAGAGAGAGAGAGAGAGAGAGAGAGAGAGAGAGAGAGAGAGAGAGAGAGAGAGAGAGAGAGAGAGAGAATTTGGGGATTTTGGAAAACACACATTCCGGTCTTCCTAGCTTTCTGTCTTGGCAGATTTGAGTGGTTAGGATCGGGCTCGTACTAGTGAGCTATTCTTCTCTCTCTCTCTTTTTTTTTTTTAATACAAAATTGGACCATTTCTCGATTTATGCGTGTCATCCGTGCACAGGGGCCATGCTAATCTTCTCTGTATCGTTGCAATTTTAACGGATGTCCCGAAGGACATATTCTTCTCTCTCTTGTGGTTGGAGTTTTGTTGGTTTTTCATTTGGTTATATACATATGGCCTAATTCTTTACCCTGCTTTAGAGCATGAGCTGTCTTTTTGATGAAGGAATGTCTGTGAGTGGCCGCAAGTTTTTTCGGAGTGGGAATGTATGTTTGGAGTTCTGGCCACAGTATCTTAGCGAGGAGGCTCAGAGCGTGTTTGCTGTGGGTGTCATTCCCATGATGGGCTGCTCCTTTGGAGCACATGGAAAAAGCGGGGACTTCCAGGGTGTTTTAAGCAGTGGCGCTCCTGGTGTTGCTTTTTGGAGATCTTTGTGGAGTTCGGTATGATTTACGGTGGCTTTGTGGGCCGACACAGAGGGCTCTCCAAGTTTTTCAGACCATTTGCAGCGTGGCCGGTGCTTTCTTGTTAGTGGAGCCTTTTGTGTTGTGGACCTGTGGTGCAACTTATTCTTGTGTTGGGGTATATACACTCCAGGGGCCAGAAAAAGAAAAGTGAAAGGGAGGTTGTCTAGCCATGGAGTGATGGAGATGATGGTGACATGAGTAAGTCGTTTGAGATGAATAGTATTAGTACCAGTGTGCTTCGGATTATGCCCTTGTAGGCTTGACCCCTTGTAGAGTATAATCTATATTTTTGCAAGTGTGTCTCTCCGGCAGCAGACGGGTGTGTGGGCACTTGCGGCCGCTCAACCACACAAACGTGGGCAACCTTGCATCTTCTAGTATATGGCCTATCCATAGCTTTTTTGTTTTATGGATTGGAATGACAGAGAGAATTTGGGGATCTTTGAAAAACACACACACTCATGCACAGACACACCACACAAGCAGATGCTTACAGACACTGATCACACTATACTCTTTGTCAAATCCCAAGACTGCTGAATAGAAGGCAATTATTATAAACTCTCTTTCCCTTGGTGTTCATGTGTCTGTGTGTTTGTGTGTGGCTGCTACTCTATGGGGGCAGGGTGTGGCGGTGCTATAGTACAACCATGGCGACGGGTGTAGTGCCACAGATGATGATGATAACGGGGAAGTGCAGCGGATTACCACATGGTAATGGGCTAATGAGCATTGCAGGACGACAGCATGAAGTGATGATGCCAGGTTGCCCATCTTCGTCATCCTCATATCAACTGCGGGCGCCCCCATCGCCACCATCTTTGTTGTCATTGTCATCATCCAGATCCCTGTCATCGTCCTGGAAGTTGTATGAGGGTTTGCATCTAAAGGTGAGGACTATATGAAGACCAAAAAAGATGGGCCAAGCAAGATAAAGCAGTCGCTATTGCCGCTGCCCACTTCCCCGCACTTCACTTTGCTGTGCATAGCCAGCTCTGTAATCTTGCTCATTCCTCGCTGCTCACACTCTTGTAGTTGTAGTTACCATCCTCCCTCACATCATTCTCTCCAACTCCGACTGTTGCATGTAGTATGTGTGTGTGTGTGTGTGTGTGTGTGTGTGTGTGTGTGTGTGTGTGTGTGTGTGTGTGTGTGTTTTCATGTGCATGTGTTTGTGTGTTCGTGTGTGTGTGTGTGTGTGTGTGTGTGTGTGTGTGTGTGTGTGTGTGTGTGTGTGTGTG